AGGTAGGTTCTTTTAATTCTAATTTCTTCACTCCGTATCTTTTACAACTTCTCTTGACTGTAAATTCTTAAAAAGCTAGTCTAATTATTTCTGAAAAGCCCTTTCTGCATCCCACCTCTTGAGCAGTTATAAATATTAAGCAAGAAAAAAAAATTAAAAATAAGTTTAACTAAACTTTTATACAAATACAAATTTAAAGTACTAAAAGTTAAAACTGATGATCAAGGTGAATTACATGGGGCCTAAAGGTGTTTCCTTTCATACAAATACAAATTTAAAGTACTAAAAGTTAAAACTGATGATCAAGGTGAATTACATGGGGCCTAAAGGTGTTTCCAAAATCTAAAATAATTTAGGGGGTAAAATGTAAAAAAGTTCCCTGACCCCTGTAGTTTGTCACTGTGTGTAAATATATTCTTTAACTAAGTTTATCACTGTGTGTAAATATATTCTTTAACTAAAGTCATCAAATTTTAACATTCTGGTAATAAATATAGCTCGTTCCTGAATGTATTATCTGCACAGATGTCACTTTTTGACTCCTTTCAATCAGAATGGAAATTACAACTTACAAAAGAAATAAGGCAAATGGGCTTTTCCACCAATGTTCTTTTGGCGAAGGGGCATGTCAATGATAAAGCAGCACTCAAACAGAGAACCTGGGACACAGAACTTCAGGAGGATATGAGCCAGTTGGGCAAATACAGTGTTGTTACTAAGAAGGCCTTCACAGTATCTTCATATCTGAAGAGCACAATGTCAACAAAGACCAGAAGAGCCTTCACATTAGTGAGACTTAATGTTTTACCCTCTAAACTCATGGAAGGAAGATTTCAACTTATACCTATTTCGGATTGCCTGTGTCCATGTAATGATGGCCAAGTGGAAACTGTAGGTCCTATCTTACTGTACTGTCTTTTTTATAGAGATCTACGCACTAACCTCTTGAGCCCAATCATTTTCAGATATCCAGGGAGACCTGATGAATTTTACAACAGGCTACTTCTTTCCGATCAAGACTCCCTTATTACAAGCTCTGCTGCAAATTTTTGTGCAGCAGCAATGGCACAGCGCTCCCTTATAGTCTCTCTCCTGAGTTCACAGGTCGACCGGTTTTAACATGAGGGTGGTTTACTGTCAAGTGTAGAGAAATGTTGTGGCCCCAACCGAAGGGAGGAAATATTTATATTTTAACCACATAATGTTTTATGAACTGGCTGTACATCTTTTTTAACTGCGTTTTGTGTATTTTAATAATTTGTTTTATGAACTGATTTTACATTTTAAACTGCATTTTGTATATTTTAGCCACATGAT